ATAATAAAATCAAATGGAATAGCTCGCTTCAAAATTTGCTCCCACGGCCAAGCAGGCCACAAAATGTGGCCCAGATTATTTTACCAGACCTACTATTTTATTACCTGTCCCTCCACATGCAGGGCCATAACTGAAAAATCTTCAGTCATTTCTCATTCAATTCAAATGCAAGATTCTGTACTACAGCCGACAATTTACAAAGTGGTTGCGATTTTCTGTCAGTGTCCCTGCAGAGAGAAAGTGCTGGCCGTTGATTACTAGGGCTAAGCCCGAGACTACGTGAAGCCTGCAGAATACGTTTACCAACCTCGGGCTTTTTGGATGATTCATAACCGGGCTTATTTATATGGCCCGTCATTTGTGATATATTTATGTCAGGCTGAAAGTTCGAGTTTCTGTAGTTTGTGCTGCTGTTGAAGTACCTGCTGAAAGGAGTGGAGGCCACTTCATCATTATCCGAAAAATATTTCTCGATAATTCCTGAAATCGAAGCTGATTCTGAGACCTTTTCATTACAGGCCTCAAGAATCGTGTCCTTTTGAATCCTGTTCTCAATTTTGTGCTTTCTGATTTTCTTTTTCTTTTTTCTTTTTAGTGTACGGATGATTAAGAAAAATATCAGGAATGAAGATCTAAGGAATGGAAATCTCCATATATCAACCTCCTTTCTTTTCTTTTCAATTCTCTTTTTGTTATCTTTATACGTTAGGGGTTTTCGCCTCAGAATAACTGAACCAGTGTCAATATTAGCAGCAGAGTTCGTATTTTGACGAACTTTAGTGTTCTTGAAATTAAATGGATGCACACCCATTTGGAGAAACCAAGTGCCCTTTGAGTCGTGAAAAGCATATTTGAGAGGGAAGGACTCGGCTAGATGGTAAAGGTGTGATTTTAGCTGCACCTGGTACAACATTTACACGACATTTGGATAAATTTGCTAGACTACAGATTCAGATTGTGATGTCTAATTGAGGAGTTAATATTTAAACATACCATTAGTGCATTAACTCTAATTCTTCCAAAATCCGGGAAACAATTCATATGTGTCCTTTCTAGTTCTCCTACAATGAGAAGTTTCACATTTCAGTGTCTAATAAGCAGAAAACTAATTATATTAGATAACTATTAAAATAAAAGACTCAATTGGATACCAAAACATATAATTTTAAAATTAAAAAAAAAATAAATACAAAAGATACAAGATGACAGGTTAAAACTTATATTTTCTGGTTAAATACGATAACTCCTAGTGTATGTGATGTCAAGAAATATTGGAAAGATTTTGCCAACTTCAAGAAAAAATCTTATAAAGCTCAAGCCATGACTTTGTCTGCAGCAGTTTAACCAACTCAAAGGTTGCAACTTTATCATATTATCCATGAAGATAAGCTTAAATCCATGACTACAATTTGCCCCGGCACAATTTCATAGACACTCCATCATTTAATCGGTCCAGCGACAAACAATTTCTAGATTCTAATTGCATGCTGTTAAGCCTATTCTTTTCACATCACCAAATATTAAATTTTGATGAGAATACATATGGTTCAAAGCCAAACAAATATTGCATCAGCTCCCAACAAAGCTCTGGATAACGGCTAACTATATGTAATTTGATAAATCACCCTAAATGGAATATCCCTAACTAAAGAAAATAACCCCTAACGCACCAACTTTGTCTACCCAAACAACATTAAAAGAAGACTTGCTTAGTCAAGCAATAGCTATCTCTTGAAAGAGAAACACAGTTTAGCAGCACATATTAACCTTCTACTTCTGGGAACAGATTTTATGATACTCATCATAAGAAAGAAAAGCCCATTGTTAATCAAGAATCCATATAACTCAGAATCACCCAGATACCGTAAAGTTGCGATCTTTAACAGGATACCATTCAACAATGGTAACAAGATTCGATTTAAACTGAAACATGAGGAAAAAAGAAAAAGAAATAATCGGCGAAATGAACAGGTATAGATAAAGAGAGAAGAGTCGGAGAGGCTAACTCTTGAAGTCCTTGGCCGTGATATCCGGAGGAGCAACAGCAACAAAGCGGGTGCCCAAATTTGTCTCTACAAAAACAGGTTTCTCGACATTGGAACAAACTATAGTAGCAGACATTTATTTGATTTTTAAAGTGAAAAAAAAGAGGAAGAGGCTTTCGCAGTTCGCACACATATATAGCCTGTTTTCAAGTTCCCATAGTAAACAACACGCTTTATAACCACAAAGGAACACGCTTTATAACCATAAGTTGGCAAAAGAGCCCCTCAACCCGGTTCAAAAGTTAACATCCTTTATTATTAACTAGTAAATATCTTGTGCACGTGCATAAATGTACATAAAATATAATAAGTAATACTTAAAAATTTAATATTAAAATTTTAGATAATTACCATATTATATTTTTAAAATTTAATCATTAAGAAAAATAAATTAATGATTGTTTATTATTATGAACAATTATTAATTATCATTAGATAATAGCAGTTTGATTATTATTATTATTATTGTTACTACTATTATTATTATGATTATTATTATTATTACAAAAATAATTATTTATAAGATTTTAAATTTGTTTGACTATGCTATTAAAACAATTTACTAATTGTTTTTAAAGAAATTTTTTCATGAGATATAAAAGAAAAAGATAATATTGATGTTAAAATAAATAACTTGAAAAAATTATTTATAATTATGCAATTTATATTTATTGTGAATTATTATTAGTTGGTATTAACATTAATTATTATATAATATAATAGAAAAATACATGATTACACTCAATAGGATGTATTAATATGAGAAGTAAAAACATTAATGATAAATTTTGTAACCGAAAATGGAGGAAAATTTTTAGAGGTTTTATTAAATAGGTTTTATTAAATGCTATTAGCTAGTAATTATATATATATATATATATCTATATATATAGATTTACCTGCAGTGTGATTCACATGTTTTTAATATAAATAAAATCAATGCAATTAAATGTTAATTTTTTTTTTTTTTACTTTATCATGATATATTTTTATTATATAAAATTCCTCAAGTTTCAAGATTTTATATTTACTAACTACTTAACTTGCTCATTTGTTTAATTTGTTAAACTCAAAGTAATGAATATTATTAATTTTTTTCACTAGGGTAATTGGCATGGTGGTGCAAATTACAACTTGGTAGTTTCTCCTTTTAATATCGCATAAATACTTTAAATAGCTATATTTACACGTGTTTTGTATTATTATTTTAGCATATCAATTTAAATCAAGTGAGGCAAATAATTACTACTTAATGTATTTTAAATTTCAAATATTCGCATTTTAGTGTAAAGAAATAGCATCCTATTTCATATGTACAATTTTAAAAACTAATGATTTTAAAATTATGTATTTAAAAATTGTCAAATATTTTTTTATTTTTCTAATTATCAGTAATATGCATAGAGACTCAAAAATGTGACATTCTTGTTTATCCTTTTAAGGTTGCGAATCCTTGATTTATTTAAATGGTTCAATATATATAATTTTATTATTAATATAAATATCTCACGCTCATGTGGGAAAAAAATTATTATTTTGAGTTATTTTATGCTAAAACACTTTTACTTAATATATATAGTTTATTTTAAATAACCTAGGACCGTTCAACATTGCTAAAGTAATAGTAATAGATAAATCAAAATAGTTATTTTGATTTTCATAAGTAATATTTGTGCCAAATCAAAATTGTTGAAGGAAAATTAATTCAGTAGAATGTTTATAAAAATTGGGACACAAATGAAATTCCTTTAAGGTTTTATTTAAAAAGAAAAGTTATAAATATTCATTTATAAATGTATAAAAAATACGGAACTGTTAATTCTAAAAATATGAGAAATAAAAAAAAAAAACAAAAAAAACCATAAATTAGATCATCTATCTATCTATCTATCTATCTATATCTATATCTATATCTATCTATCTATCTATATCTATATCTATATCTATCTATATCTATATCTATCTATACTAGTCTAAAAGGATGAGTGTTTTTGTAAAAATATGAACTACCTAAAAAACTCTTACTTTGACATATTTTTAATGGCAAATTAGTAATACACTAATACACATCATATTTTATATTTTTAAATATTAATGGCAAATTAGTAATACACTAATACGTATCATATTTTTAATTAATAACTAATGCTTAATTAATTAAATACAAATACATGAACAATACATTTCACATCTCCTAAAAAAATCAAACTCAATATTCTCGCACCATTATTTCTCACGAAATGGCTTTCTTCCACATATCTCCCAAAAATCAACCCAACAACAACCTAAACAACAAAGTTTTGAAAAAATATAGAATTGTTGTTTTAAAAAAATCTCTGTTTTTAATATAATTTTATACATTATCTGACAAATTAGAAAAGTTGAACAATTCATTTAGCTACTTCATTATTTAAGAAAAGTAAATTCTTATTTTTAGAATTAGAATAAAAATTACACTTTAGTCTTACTGGATGAAATTTTGATCCCACAAAAATTGTCATTTGTTTGTTTGTTTTTTTTTTTCAATTTTAGTCACAAAGTGAATATAATTAACAAATTATCACTTGACCATTAGATGGTTAATATCAAGGTGAGTAATATTTTAATTATTAACATTTAAAATATATGAATTTTACATTCAAGAATTAAGCAAAATATATCATGAGATTTTAATTATTATTATTTTATTGAGCCACTGATTTTCAAGATGTGTGGTAAATAAATGAACAATATGAAAGTAAAAATTATTAAATCTGATGAATAACATTATAAATATAATTAAGTTGTAAGACTTACTAATTAATATGAAAAAAAATAATAAATTAAAAATTTATAATTAATAAAAGTAAATATAAAACTTAAAAAATTTATACTTATCGATGTAAATGAATCGAATTGTTAATTGTTATTTCTTTTTAATTTTTTGTGCTTATTAGTTCTATGTGTAACTTTTAGGTGATAGATAATAGTTATTTGTACTTTTATCCATGTAGGCTGGAAATTTTAATATTTGAAAAAAATGATTATCTTAATTTTAAATAACTTTTTATTTGCTATTAGTTTTTTTAATATAATATATAAATATCATATTACAATATAAAATAATAATTATTTTCACCTGACCATTAGATGGTTAATATCAAGGTGAGTAATATTTTAATTATTAACACTTAAAATGTACAAATTTTACATTAAATAATTAAGTAAAATATATCATAAAATTTTAATTATTATTATTCTATTTGAGCCACTTATTTTCAAGACGTGTGCCAAATAAAAGAACAATATGAAAGTAAAAAAATATTAAATATGATGAATAATTTTAAAAATATAATTAAGTTGTAAGACTTACTAATAAATATGAAAACAAATAATAAATAAAAAATTTATAATTAATAAAAGTAAATATAAAACTTTTAAACTTATACTTATCGATGTAAATGAATCGAATTGTTTATTTCTTTTTATTTTTTTTGTGCTTATTAGTTCTATGTGTAACTTTTAGGTGATAGATAATAATTATTTGTACTTTTATCCATATAGGTTGGAAATTTTAATATTTAAAAAAATGATTATTTTAATTTTAAATATGTTTTTATTTGCTATTAGTTTTTTAAATAAAATATTTATCATATTACAATATAAAATAATAATTATTTTTGTTATTTAATATTTAATACGTAAAAGGTTGTAATTCAATTGAGAAATTGATAGGTAGTGATTTCTAAAAAGTTATATGGACTAAAAAGTTAATGTTTTTAATATATTCTTAATAAAAAAAATTGTAAACAAAATTACTTAATAAAAAAACTACAACATAAAAATTTTAATGTTTAAAAGGAATGACAAAAAATCAAATGCTATATTGCATTGAAAAATCCAAAGATAAGGTGTTCCACTAAAAATTCCAAAGTATATTTCATTTGTATAGCTTTCATTGAAAAATATCACTGGCTATTCCAATTTCCAACATAGATCAAATTAAATTATAATGGAATTTTAATGGATTTAATGATTCCATTTACCATTATTTATTGTTGTGTGAATTCGTTTAATTTATTTTTTCGAAATATATTTCTACCGTTGGAAAATTTTTCACTGGAATTGTAAAAAAATCAATGAAAGTTGTATTGGAAAGCTAATTGCAGTGGTATATACAGACAATTTCATATTGGGGGCACTATTTAGCTAATAGAAAAATTATACGTTTAAAATAACATAATGTCATTACAATATATAAATTATTCTTTTCATAATTTGTCATCTTTCTCATCTGTAATACATATTTAGCAAATCTATACAGTTACAATAAGTTAAAAGTATTTATAAGAAACACATAATTTTTCTCAACTAAAAATAAGCAAATCATTGAAAATAATATATCTTTTAAAATTTGATGAACAAAAAATCTATGTTGCAGTATAGATGACTCGACAATATTATTGATTAACTTATAAATTATGACTAATTAATTATAATATTAATGAGAAAAATGTAATTGTATATTATAATATTAAGATATACAAATAGATGATATATTAACACATATGACCAAAATAATATATTCTGTAAAAATCTTATGAACAAAAAATCTATGTTGTAGTATAGTTGACTCGACAATAGTGTTGATGAATTTATAAATTATGAATAATGGATTATAATATTAAAGAGAAAACTGTAATTTTATATAATATAATATTAAGATATACAAATAAATAATATATTAATACATATGACCGAAAAAGTTCTATACATAATATTATGAATTTTTAAGCAAATACAAAAATTAAAAACATATGAAAGAACAATACAAAATATAAAAATATTAAATCTGACAATGATATTAAAAATTACTAAGTTGTAACACGTATTAATAAACATTAAAAAATAATAAGTAAATATGTCATGATTAATAAAAGTAAACATAAACTTTTTAAAACTTATATTTATCGATGTAAATGAGCAGGGTTGTTAAATGCTTGTTAATTTTTGTACTTATTAATTCTATGTGTAAGTTTTAGGTGATATACAATAGTTATTTTTATCTTTATCCATGTAGGTTAGAAAAAAAAAAACACTTGATTATTCTAATTTTAAATTACTTTTTATTTGCTATTAGCTTTTTTACA